AGGACCATATTGAGATCCTCCTGAAAACACGGGTTGGAGGAGCGGCGTTGTAGGTTCACACGAATGCCGGCAGAATGAGATAGGCCACCCATGGGTGATGGAGGAGAGAGGGCATCCAGGGGTGGTGTGAGGGAGCCTCTTGATAGCCCTGCATGTCAGAACCTCCTCTCCTGCCCAAGGGTGTGTTCACCCTGCATTGCCCAAACGCTGCACCTACATACCCGTCCACGAGGGGGAAATCCCTCATCAGGGCCTGCGCGCGACTCCGAAGGTCCAGGGTTTTGGTGGTGCCTGGAGTAGTGAGGCCTGGCGTAGTGAGGGCGCTGGGGACTCCCGGCGTAGTGAGGGCGCTGGGGACTCCCGGCGTGGTGAAGGGGCTGGGGGAGCCCAGCGTGGAGAGGGCTCTGGGGGCGCCCGTCGTGTTCTCCCCGCGGGTTACGGGCTGCCGCAGCAGCAACAGCAATGGCAGGAGCAGCAGACGCCGCACATGCCGCCGGCTGAGCGCGCGGGAACCCTCGTGGCCTGTGGGCTGCATATGGCGCTGGGGTCGACCGCGGGAGCCTGGGAGGAGCAGGCGACGGGCAGAGGCCGACAATGGGGTCCGGACCCTGACGACCCAGCCTCGTGGCCTCGCGAACAGGGGATTGAAGTCACGCGACTCTGCGACCGAAGAGCCACGCAAGGGGGCGCCACGGCTTTCCCGTCTGCAGGTAGGAGAGCGCCCCCATGGGCCGGAACCGCCGCTGCAGCATCGAGGACCCCTCGCCCTTCCACCCCCAATGCTGGCTCCGTAGACCCCCAAGACAAGTAGGGGAGCAGGGATCTTCCTGATCTCACCTCCTACCCAAGCCCACGTGGGGGTTAACTGCTGGCTTGTGCCCAGCTCCCAGGCAGGTAAAATACTCTAAGCTGAGGCTCAGAAGAGTTAATTCTATCTGTCTGTTTTGACTGACAGAAAAAGATTCACTATAGATATTTCATTTCATTTCATTTCATTTCATGTTTTGATACAGAGTTTTGGCTCTTGTTGCCGAGCCTGGAGTGCAATGGTGCAGTCTCGGCTCACTGCAACCTCCACCTCGTGGGTTCAAGCCATTCGCCTTCCTTAGCCTCCCAAGTAGCTGGGATTACAGGCGCCCGCCACCATGCCTGGATCATTTTTGTATTTTCAATAGAGATGGGGTTTCACCATGTTGGCCAAGCTGTCTTGAGCTGCTGACCTCAGGTGATTTGCCTGCCTCGACCTCTCAAAGTGCTGGGATTACAGGCATGAGCCACTGTGCCCAGCCCCGAAAATGAAATTTAAGAGCAATTTTTATGGGGGATCATTATTTTAGCTTTTTTCCTTGGAGTTGCAGTGGGGTGATCATAGCTCGCTGCAGCCTTGAACTCCTGAGCTCAAGCGATCTGCCCACCTAGGTCTCCCAAAGTGCTGGGATTATAGGCATGAGCCACCACATCCAGCCTTAGTTCTTTTTTAGAGATAGGGTCTTTCTGTGTCGTCCAGGCTGGTCTCAAACTCCTGGCCTCAAGTGATCCTCCCACCTTGGCCTCCCAAAGTGTTCCAGTTGCAGGCATGGGCCACTGCATCTGGACCTGTTTTAGCATTTAGTATTGAATATTTTTTCTCTATATATGTTAATATACACACACAAAAAGACCCAGAAGAGTCTACATATCAAATGTTAGTTAATAGTGGCCCTCTCAGCGAGAGATCTACCTACACCCTGATCAGTTTGCATCTCATTTCTTTCTGTATTATGGTGATACTGGCTAAGGGAATTCATGGGTAGTGCTGGTGAGGGTTAATCAGGGTCATAGGGGGTTGGTGGAAGCACCACAGCAGTAGCTGAACCTTGCTTGAAAGGATGGGGTCTGGATCAGGCAGGAGGAGTAGAGAGGGGATCCTGTGTTGGCTAACAGCCCAGCAGAGATCTAGTTTGGGCATTACAACAACTGCTGTGGAAGAGGCACAGGTGGATCCTCTAAGGCATGGAGTTGTGGGACAAGATCAGACTAGGGCTCTTGGTCCTGAGAGCACGAGGGGGCTTGCTCTGACACATTATTTCACCTGGGGCAGAAATCCTCCTTCAAGACAACACAAGGCAGCTTCCAGCAACCCCTTATCATTTCCTGTTGAGAAAACCCTGGTGCAGGGGAAATGATGTCAAAACTGCATCTCGGGCCGGGCGCGGTGGCTCATGCCTGTAATCCCAGCACTTTGTGAAGCTGAGGTGGGCAGATTGCTTGAGTCTAGGAATTTGAGACCAGCCTGGCCAACACAGTGAAACCCCATCTCTACTAAAAATACAAAAATTAGCCAGGGATGGTGGCACCTGCCTGTAATCCTAGCTACTCAAGAGGCTGAGGCAGGAGAATCACTTGGATCTGGGGGGCGGAGGTTGCAGTGAGCCGAGATTGCACCACTGCACTCCAGCCTGGGCTACAGAGCGAGACTCCGTCTCAAAACAAACAAAACAGCTGCATCTGGGCCAGTGCAGTGGCTCATGTCTGCAATCCTAGCACTTTGGGAAGCCAAGGCAGGTAGATTGCTTGAGTCCAGGAGTTTGAGACCAGCCTAGGCAACATGGTGAAATGCTATCTTTACTAAAAGTACAAAATACTAGCCAGGCATGGTGGTACGCACCTGAGGTCCCAGCTACTCCAGAGGCTTAGGTAGGAGAATCACTTGAGGCCAGGAAGTTGAGGCTGCAGTGAGCTGAGATCCTGCCACTGCACTCCATCCTGGGCAATTGGAGTGAGACCCTGTATCAAAAAAAAGGGAGACGTGCTAGCAAAAAAAAAAAAAAAAGAAAGAAAAAAAAAAGCCGGGACATTGTGGCTCAGCCTAGTAATTCCCAGCACTTTTGGAGGCAAGGGTGGGGGAGGCACCTGAGGGCAGGAGTTGGAAACCAGCGTCCTGCCAACATAGTGAACCGTCTCTACTAAAAATACACAACACACACAAAGATAGCTGGGCATGTGTGGGCGGGGCCTGTCAATCCCAGTAGCTGTAAGAGACTGAGGCAGGATAATCGCTTGGAACCTGGAGCGCAGAGGTTGCAGTGATCCAAGATCGCCTGCCACGTGCACTCCAGCCTGGCAACAGAGCACAAATTCCGTCTCAAAAAAAAAAAAACAAACCCCTGCATCTGAGGTAGATCTGACACATGCGGCTTGAAGCCAGGTCCTGCTGAGGAAAGGTCAAGATACAAACCGAATCTAAATACCTCCTCTGGCATCTGTTTCTGTGGGCTCTTGTTTTTCCACCTGGCGTCCCTGATAAATGGTGCATTCCTTTCTGCGGTGAGAGGGTACATCGAGTAGGCCTTACCTCTGGTGACTGACTTCCCCTGCTTCATTGCTGTCGCTCTCGTCCTCGGCCTGGGGTTAAGTGCCAAGTTGACCCAGCTGCTTCTAGCGTGTGGTCCTCCTCGAGAAGGGCAGGAGAAAGGTCATGTGTTTTATTGTTGTCTCCCGACTGCAAGAAGGTCTTATTTAAGGGACTTGGTAACAACATGAAGAATGGCAACTGTTGCTAATGAGTTAAGAAAAGGTAGAAGAATTGCACGGGTACAGCTGTTTCCAGGGTATATATATTATTATTGTTAGTTTTGTTTGTGTTGTGTTTTGGTTTTTGTTTTTGAAGGATGGGGTTGACTCTGTTACCCGCTGGAGCGGGGCGAGATACGTACATGTTGAGTGGGGAGCTCAGGCGCACTGCCAACTTGCGCGCGCGCGGTTCAAAGCGGAAGTTCTCGCTGCGCAGCTCCGAGGTGCGGGAGCACGAGGCAGGCCAGCTGAGCACCGGGCTAATTCTTGTGTCGCTTTAGGAGAGATGGGCAGCGGGGGATGCGAGCACTAGTCGAGCGCGCGGAGCGGGAGCCGCGCCGCCGGCCAAGAGCGGAGGACAGGTGCAGGCCAGGCCGGCGTCCGAGCTTATTGTTGAGAAATAGGTTGTAGGCGCGGGCTGCAGAGGTCATGGCCTGTAGATCCAGCACTGTTGGAGGCAAGGAGGTGGTATCACTTGACGTCGCAGGGCGCAGGCGCGGGGCAGCGAGGTGAGAACGCTCGTCTTCAAAAAGACGAGAGGAAATTGGCTGGCAGGGCGCCTAGAGCCGCCAGCATCAGGAAGCAGAAGGGAGATGACTGAGCCAGATGTGGGCGCCCAGGGAGCCAGGAGGACGTACTGCAGCCCAGGGAGGCGGCGCTCTGGTACGGCTCTCAGAAAGAAAAAAAAGAGATGGTAGAGAAGAGGCAGCGCCCCGAGAGGCGGAGGAGAGGTTCAGAGCTGCCCTGCCTACATGAGACACAGGAAGAAGGAAGAGGCAGGAAGGTCTACAGAGTTAATTTTAAAGATCTTAATCATAATAATAAATAAGCACAGTTAAGAAGTTTGCTTTGGTTGACTAGGTAAATCAAAGTTCCCTACTCCATCTGGGATGGGGCTCACCCTGTGAATCCTGGGCCCACTGCTTGGAGGCCCAAGGTGCGAGGATTGCTGAGTCTAGGAGTGTGGCAGACCAGACGGCCCCAAACATAGGGAATAGCCCATGCTCGTTCTATATAAGAATTTTAAAAAAGTCTTCCGGGCTTCTAAGTGAAGTGAGAAAAAAGAGAAGCTAAATTTCTAGCGGATGCGGTGGCCTTCTCGTCGCCTCGGTAATCCAACACGTTGGAGCCAAGGCGGAGGGCCCGGCGTTCACGAGAGAGGTCAGAGTTGAGATCGCGGTGACAACAAGGGTAAACCGCATCTCTATAAAATACATAACTGCGGTGGCGGGGTGCTCGGTTGCCCAGTCCTGCTCAGGAGGCTGGGGAGTTACTTGGAAGCGGGAGGAACGCAGGA